TCTGTATTCATGTCTATGAGTGTATGTGTGCACATCTGTGTGTATATGCATGTATATGTAGGTACGTGCATGCATATGTTTGAATATGCCTGTACACATTTCTGTATGCAGATGCATGCATATAGTTGTATATGCATGTCTGCATATATATATATATATGTACGCGTATGCAAGTATATATTTGCATATGTATGTATACGCATGCATGTGTTCGTACATCTATGTATCTGTAAGTACATGTAAGTATACATACATATATATATATATATATATATATATGTATAGGTATGTCTGTGGTTGGATGGGTACGTGTATGTGTATGTCTGTGTATACGTGTATGCGTGTGTGTGTGTGTGTTTGCATGTACGTATGCATTCACGCATGCATGTATATATATGGATGCATGCATGCATGCATGCATTCATGCATATATGGATGCACATGTATACATATGTATGTATATATGCATGCGTGCTTGCTGGTTTGTATGTTTGTGTGTATGTATATATGCATGCGTGTATGCATGCATGTATGCATGTATACATGTATGCATATCTGCGTGTGTGCAGGTATGCAACCATGCATGTACGTTTGTGTATGTATGTATGTATGTATGTATGTATGTCTGTATGTATCTCTCTATATATACGTGTATGCGTGCATGCATGTATGTATGTATGCATCTAGGTATGAATTTATGCATGCATTCATATAGTCATGCACTTATGTATGTATGTATATGTATGTATGTATGCATGTATGTATGTATGTATGTTCGTTGTCCTGTAGTTATAGGTTTGATCGGCCATACATATATATATATATATGCATGTATATGTATATGTAAATGCATATGCGCATGGATGTGTACACATATATGTATATGTATATGTATATGCATGTGCATACGTATATGTATATGTATATGTATATGTATATGTATATGTATATGTATATGTATATGTATGCATATATGCCTGTGTGCATGTATGTATGTATGTATGCATGCAGTAATGCATGCATGCATGCATGCATGCATGCATGCATGCATGTATGTATGTATGTATGTATGTATGTATGTACGTATGTATGCATGTATGCATGTATGTATGTATGTATGTATGTATGTATGTATGTATGTATGTATGTAGGTAGGTATGTATGTCTGTACGTATGTAAATAGGTATGCATGCATACATGTGTGTATATATGTATATACGTGTGTATATATATGTATATGTACATCGATGCGTCGGCCGCGCAGGGGCGACGCGCACGCTCGGAAATCTGATAGTACAAGCTCCGTGGCGGGCGCTCTCCGGCCATACCGCTCGGGGAACGATACGCTGTGAGATGTTGCGCCACATGTTCGGGTCGGACCTGCGTCTTCGACAGAGGCACACGCAGGACTCCTTAATGCGTCCCAGGCCAGGCGGCAGCGCCCCGCTGTCGCAGGAGCAGCGCGACGAGTGGGTCGGCGGCTTCCTGCGCGCGGCCGCGGCTGCGCCGTGCGCCCGCTGCGACGGGCTGGCGCTCGCGCACGGGTTCCTGCTGGGGCTGGACGAGGAGCGCGCGGAGGGCCTGCCGCTGCCCTTCTCGGAGGCCTAGGGGTTGGCACCGACACCAAAATCGACAGTGTGCCGCCACCGAGGGATGGTGACCCCGTTCTCTTGTGATGGTGGTCATATTCGGGCTTCTAGGTGGCCACGATATTCATTACCAGCAACACCAAGATCTAGGATCATCTACCCCCGGTGGAGGCCCCCCCCCTGTGTTGGTGTCGGCGAGCTGGCCGCACTGGCCACTCCTGTCGAAGTCCTTCGCGCAGTGGGGGCCTCCCTCCTACTCCCGGCTCTGCGGCCGCCCTCCGCCCCCTCCTCCTCTCCGGCCGCCGGGCATCTAGTTCGCCCGCTTCCGGCCAACTCGAGCGCGCGTGCGGGTCCACCTCTGCCGCGCCGCGACGGAGAACGTCTTGGCATCGGTGCCCGCTTCCCGGGCCCCCGGCCTTCCGCTCCAAGAACGAGGCGTGCGGCCCGCAGCTGTCCCCCGCGGAGCTCTCAGCTCGGGGGGCGCCGCCGGAGCACCGCCGCCGAGCCTGGGCCCCGGAGGGGCCCGGCCGGGGTCGGCGTTGGCGGTCCGCTGACGTTCCCCGATCGGCGGCGCTGCTGCGGCTCCAGCGCCGCGGCCTCGCGCCGCGGCTGCCACCGCCTCTGGGCGAGGTCGCCTGCGCCCCCGACGCGCCGCTCGTGGGCGCCGCTGGCGCCGCCGACGCGCGGGCCGGCGGCGCTGGCGCCCCTGCGGCGGAGGGCGCCGCGGAGGCGGGCCTCGACAGCTCGGGGGGCGTCGGCGGACCACTTCGCAGAGCCTGGCCTGGCCGCCCCTGGTCCCAGGACCAGCGCGGCCAGGATTAACGAACTAATGCATTCACTATCATCTATAAATGTATATGAATAAATAGGTGTGTCTATTTATAGGCAAGATAGGCGGACATGAAAAGCAAGACATAAGAGCAGTTGAGCAATCAAATATTGAAAGTTGAGAAAAGTGAGGTGCTCAGTGTCAGGTCCCCCGAAGAGCCGACTGCTGCCCCTGCTGCGGCTCTGGGAGGCGGCGCAGCCAGCGCCGCGCGACCCAGGGGAGGTTACCGCTGGCAGCGCGCGCGCAGCGCGTGCGCGCGTGCCGGCTTCTCGTCCTCGTCCTCGTCTTGCAGATTTTCGACCCAGCCTCGTTCTCGTCCTGCAGGTTTTCGACCAAGCCTCGTCCTCGTCCTGCAGGTGTTCGGCCCAGCCTCTGCCTCGTCCTGCAGGTTTTCGGTTTTCGACCCAGCCTCGTCCTCGTCCTCGTCCTGCAGGTTTTCGACCCAGCCTCGTCCTCGTCCTCGTCCTCGCCCTGCAGGTTTCCGACCCCGCCTGCCAGCTTGCGCGCCGCCGCCGAGGACCGCCGAGGACCGCCGGAGACCGCCGAGGACCGCCGAAGACCGCCGGGTGGCCGACCCTGGAAGAAGCAGGGGTCCGCGCCCGAGCACGCGAGCGCCCTCGTCTCGCGGCTGCTCCTCCCCTCTCCTGCTCCTTCTCGTCCTCTTCCTCCTTTTTCTTCTTCTTCTTCTTATTCTTTTTCTTCTTCTTATTCTTCTTCTTCTTCTTCTCCTCCTCCTCCTCCTCCTCCTCCTCCTCCTCCTCCTCGTCCTCCTCCTCGTCTTCCTCCTCCTCCTCCTCCTCCTCCTCCTCCTCCTCCTCCTCGTCCTCTTCCTCCTCTTCCTCCTCCTCCTCCTCTTCCTCCTCCTCCTCCGTCCGCCTCTGCGGTCGGACCGAGGGATAAGGTGGAGGTCGGTTGGGGGTGGGTGCCCTGATGGTCGTCGTGTTCGTTGGATTTTCTTGTGCATCCTCGGGGAGGGCACCCTCGAAGGTTCTCCAGTTTGGGCCAATGGAGGGTCTCATGTTCTCGAGGGGTGCTCTTCTGTCCCAGGTCTGGCCGTATTCGCCGCCAGAAGCTCCCAATGTCCTCCGCTTCGCAGCCGTGCCCTGGGATCTCGAGGAGTCGCGGATGCGGACACCTGCCCGCCCGCATGGGCGGGCAGAGGTCCACATCCACCGCTCCCCGCGGCAGTGGATGTGGAGATGTTGTGGCGGCGCTCTGTGGGAGACGAGCCGGATCACATCAACTCCTCCTGCTGCCTCTGGGGCCCGGCAGCGGCGACAGCGACTGCGACGGCGACGGCGGCGACGGCGGCAGATGGCGGTGGCGACGCCGCGGGCAACGGCAGCGAGTGGCGGCGGCGGCGACGCCCGCGAGTGCGACGGCGGCGACGGCGAGAGGCGACGGCGAGAGTGGCGACGGCGAGAGCGGCGACGGCGAGATCCACGGCATCGCTGCTCCCCGAGATCCGACGTTCCTCCTGCCTGCCGCCCTCCTCTTGGCTAGGGGAACGGAGAATGACATAAACATAAAACTCGGAGGTCCGCGCGGATTTCTCGTATGGAACCCCCTCCCTGGCGCGCGGAGCGTGCCAGGGGCGGCGCCAGAGGCGCCGCCAGGGGGGCCCAGCGCAGGAGGAACGTCCGGTCTCTCCCCGCTTCGTCGTCCGTCTCCCCCCAGGTGATGCTCCGCCCTCTGCCGCCGTTGCTTCTCGCTCGCGCTCGCTGGCTGTGCTGCGTGCTGCCTGCATGCAAGAGGGCCCATGCTGTGCAGGGTCGCAGGAGAAGGAGGAGGAGGAGGAGGAGGAGGAGGAGGAGGAGGAGGAGGAGGAGGAGGAGGAGGAGGAGGAGGAGGAGGAGGAGGAGCAGCAATAATATTAAGAATAATAACAGGGAAGAAGAAGAGGAGGAGGAGGAGGAGGAGGAGGAGGAGGAGGAGGAGGACCAGCGACCCCTTATTGTCGTGCCACTTTTTCGAGCTGGACCGAGCCGTGATTGGTCGTGGGCCCTGAAATTGGGGGGACCCCCCAGGGCTACAACAATTGCGACGTCCCGATCTCAGGGTCTGACATCATGCGAATTGGATTTTGGGTCATAACCTGGCTTTCCAGTGGCCGTTCGGTACGATCCAGGCGCCCCCGAAACGCCCTCGGCGAGGCGCAGCCGCTGAAAGGCATGCCGAGTGTGGAAAATCTGTCGAGGACCGACGAAAGCATCCGAAAACCTCGACCCTCGAACCCGACAAGACCTCCAGGCCTCCAGGCTGGAATTCTACGAGCCTCGGGGCGCTCTTGTCGCCTCCGAGCCCCCTGATGGGCCGCCCGCCGCCGCCGCCGCCGCCGCCGCCGCCGCCGCCGCCGCCACCGCCGCCGTCGTCGTCGTCGTCGTCGTCGTCGTCGTCGTCGTCGTCGTCGTCGTCGTCGTCGTCGTCGTCGTCGTCGTCTTCGTCGTCGTCGTCGTCGCCGTCGTCGTCGTCGTCGTCGTCGTCGTCGTCGTCGTTGTCGTCGTGGTGGAGGTGGTCGTCGTCGTCGTGGTGGTGGTCGTCGTCGTCGTCGTCGGAGCCCCCTGCTGGGCTGCCCTCGGCAGGCCGCCGCGGGCGCCAATCCCGCGGGCGCCGCCGCCAGCGGGTCGCTTCCCGGGCTGGCGCTGCCCAGCCCAGGCGGAGCTGCCCCGCCCCTCCCCCTCCCCCTCCCCCTCCCCCTCCTCCTCCTCCTCCTCCTCCTCCTCCTCCTCCTGCCCCTGCTCGTCCTCCTGCCCCTGCTCGTCCTCCTGCTCCTCCGCCTCCTGCTCCTCCTGCTCCTCCTCAGGTTCCTCCTTCTCCTCCCCCTCCTCCTCCTCCTCCTCCTCCTCCTCCTCCTCCTCCTCCACTCCTCCTCCTCCTCCTCCACCTCCTCCCCTCCTCCTCCTCCTCCTCCTCCTCCTCCTCCTCCTCCTCCTTCTCCTCCTCCTCCTCCTCCTCCTCCCTCCCTCCTCCTCCTCCCCTCCTCCTTCTGCTTCTTCCTCCTCCTCCTCCTCCTCCTCCTCCTCCTCTTCTCCTCCTCCTCCTCCTCCTCCTCCACCTGCTCCTCCCTTCCTTCCTCCTCCCTCCTCTTCTCGTCCTCACTGCTCCTCGTCCTCCCTCCTCCTCCTACTCCTCCTCCTCCATCTGGTCCTCCTCAGCTTCCTGCTGCTGCTCCTTCCTCCTCCTCCTCCTCCTCCTCCGCTCCTCCTCCTCCCCTCCTCCCTCCTCGCCTCCTCCTCCTCCTCCTCCTCCACGCCCTGCTCGTCCTCCTGCTCCTGCTCCAGCCTCCTGCTTCCCGTCCTCTTCCTCCTCCTCCTCCTCCCTGCTCCTCCTCCTCCTCCTCCCTCCTCTTGCCTCCACCTTCCCCTGCTCCCTCCTTCTGCTCTCCTCCTCCTCGTGCACCTCCTCACCCCTGCGCCTCCTCAGGTTCCTCCTCCTCCTCCTCCTCCTCCACCTCCCTCCCTCGTCCTCACTCACTCCTCACTCGCCCTCCTCCTCCTCTCCTCCTCCTCCTACTCCTCCCTTCCTCCTCTCCTCCTCCTCCTCCTCCTCCATCCTCCTCCTCCTCCTCCTCCTCCTCCTCCTCCTCCCCCTGCTCGTCCTCCTCCTCCTCCCCCTGCTCGTCTCCTCCTCCTCCTCCTCCTCCCTTCTCCTCCTCCTCCTCCTCCTCCTCCTCCTCCCCGCCTCCTCCCCCATTCCTCCTCGTCCTCCTCACAAAAGTATAAATCCTGCTCCTCGTCCTCCCCTCCTCCTCCTCCTCCTCTTTCTCCTCCTCTTTTTTTTTCTCCTCCTCCTCCTCCTCCTCCGCCTCCTCCTCCTCCTCCGCCTCCTCCTCACTCCCTCCTCGCCAAGCTCCTCCTCACTCCCTCTTCCCCAGCCCCCTCCTCCTCAGGCATTTCTGGGCCTGTAGAAGGTTCGTCCCATGCCGCAGGACCGCCCGCCCGAGGGATTCACGAGCCTATGAAAGAACTTGAGTCAGACTTCATTCGGGTGCATGTTGCATACCCGCCCTCCGCGCACGTATTCGCCCGCGTGAAGAATCCGCCGACAGCATGTTCGCCATCCTCCTGGGGCCTGGATCTGTGAAAACACGTACCAAACAGACACGCACCAAATGCATGCTGGATACCCTCCCTCCGCGTACGCATTCACGCGGAAAGAACTTGCCGAGCGCATGCTCGATATCCCACCTGTGAGCCTTGTGACGCCCCAACTTCCGTGCCAAACGCATGCGTGCCGAAACGCATGTTGCATACCCCCTCTCCGCGCACGTAGTTTTACGCACCCAATGTTCGACGCGACTTGCTCGACACCCCTCCACTCAAGGCCAAAGGCCCGCCCACTAAAACGGACACCCTAGGTGAGAGCCCTTAACACGGAACTAATGACTCGGGGGCAAAGACCAGCCACGGGGTCGTGGTCGCGAGGTCATGGGCCATGAGAGGTCAGGGAGCCCACATATCGAACACATCGTAGCGCCAGGTGTCTGTGTTCATCCCCGCCTCCCTAGCCTGAGGCCGCCCACATGGGGTCCTAGTAGATGGTGTCGGATGGTAGCGTCGCATCGCCGATGCATCGGCGATGCAGCGCGATATTCCAATCCCACGTGCTCCGACCCCGTTTGGGCGGTCTCTGCTGCCCATCCACTCCTCGCTCCTCCCACTGTTGGCAACTTGTCTCCGCAACGTGATGCGAATATGATGAGGAAGAGCAAGAGGGGATGTGGGGACGGGGGATGGGATACCGATCACGATACTCATAGTATAACGAACAATAATAGTAATACTAAGGAGGATGAGGAGGAGAAGGAGGAGGAGAAGGAGGAGGAGGAGGAGGGGGGTCGGAGGAGGATGAGGATGAGGAGGAGGAAGATGAGGATGAGGAAGAGGGTGACGGGGGGCGGGGACGAGGAGGAAGATGGTGAGGATGATGATGAGGATGAGGATGAGGATGAAGATGATGATGATGATGATGATGATGATGATGATGATGATGATGATGATGATGATGATGATGATGATGATGATGATGATGATGATGATGATGATGATGATGATGAGGAGGAGGAGGAGGAGGAGGAGGAGGAGGAGGAGGAGCAGGAGCAGCAGCAGCAGCAGCAGCAGCAGAAGAAACCCACGATGCATCGGTGGTGCTGCAGTGCACCATCCCGTCCCAAGTCCCCTCCCAATGAGTTATCACAAGTCCCTAGACGCCTTCCGTTACACTACAAGAAGGTGCCCCTTGCAAGGCCAGCACCGATGGCCCTGCCATTCAGGCGAGGGCCCCGTTTTGAAAAGGCGTTGTCTCTCCTCCCAGGACCTCTCCTGTGGTGTGTTCTGGTTGGAACTGCCACGCGGATCCAGCCGCAGCCGCCAGGGCGCTCCGGATCCTTGAAGCTCCCCCTTCTCATCCTTCTACTCCCCCCTCTTCTCAGGAAGGGAAAAGGCACATACACAACTCATCGTCGATTCCCAAGAAAGCATGGGAATATATGGACAGTGTTGGGAAGACGAACATCCGTAGCATATGGAAAACTATGGAGAATCCTTGGATTTGTGTCTATTCATTTGTGTGTCCCTGAGCCCCTTCCTCCTCCGCCATCCCTTATCCTTATAAACAACTCCTCCCTGTCGCACCCCGCGGCGTGCTGGTGGAGCAGGCCAGCCGTTTCGCTTGGGACGCCCTCACCATTTATGATCACCAAGCTGAGCTGTGCACGAGTTTCAAAGATGAAGGTCGGACCGTTTTCGACATTCGGTTGTCGCCTTAGCGCCGCGCGCATTCGTCCTATTATTTTGCAGGAGCTTCACACATGGAGGGCGGGCCTGGTTCGCAAATGTGGCTCTCGCCTGAGCGGTACGCACAATTGTGTCAGAACGTGCAGTAGCTTCACGGATGAAGGGCGGGCCGTTTACAAAAGGTGGTTCTCGTTTTAGCGCCGCGCACCTTCGTTGAAAACTCATCACGGAGTTTCACGGATGGAGGGCGGGACGTTCTCACATTTGGGCTCTCGGCTTGGCGCCGCGCACAATCTGCTCAAGTAGCGCTGGAGCTTCAAGGATGGCGGGCGGTTCCTTTTTAGAATGTGGCTCTCGCATTTGCGCCGCGCACATGCGCTGTAAGAAGTTACAACAGTTTCAAGGTTCCCATGGTTGACGTCCAAGACATGGTGTTTTGGTACGATGTCGGACTGACAGGGCGCAACAGTTAGTTGATTCGCGGTGTTGAAGTCCCAGGCATGGTGCTCTTGCGCGATTCAGGAGTGGCAAGATGCAGCAGTAACGGTGATTCGCGGCGTTGAAGTTTCAGGTCTGCCGTTCTGGCACAGTTCAGGATTTTCAAACGGTTGTCTTCCAACGGCGTACTTCCCTCCGTGAACATGAATCTTTTGTATGGGGTCCATGAAGAGGGAATTGGGATGTTGGGTTTATCGCAGTATCGTTGATGAGTCTTGGGTTTGCACTGGTCCTCCACCTCCTCCTCCTCGTCCTCCGCTGCCCTCATTGTCTCCTTGTCTCCATCTGTTTTCCTTGCAGGTAACTCCGCCATATCGCACCCCCAGACGTGTCGGCAGGGCGAGCTGGGCGTTTCGCCTGAGATATCCTCACCAATGTTCTGAAGCTTAAGATTCACAGCAGAAGTCGTTCTCAAAATTGAGCTCTCGCCTTAGCTCCGTGCGCGTTCGTCTTCCAAGCTTGCAAGAGATACAATCTTGAGGGGGGCCGTTTTCAAAAGGAACTCTTGTTTTGGCGCCGCGTACATTCGCCTTAAAATCTTTCAGCGGTCACAAAGTTTGAGATCGGTTCGTGTCAAGACCGGGCTCTCGCCTCAGTGCAGCACGCATTCGTCTTAAAAGCTTGCACAGTTACTGGGATGGAGCGCGGTTCCTTTCAGAATGACGGTGGCTTGCAGGGCGGAGGGCGGAGGAAGGTATGAGGGAAGAGGCCGCTGGTGGCGGTGGTGGGACCTCCGCGTGTGCGTCGACCACGACATTTCACAGTGACTGGCTGGGCCGTCAAGACCCAACGCGAAGCCTCAGAGTGATGTGGTGCAGCGCCAGCCAGAGAACGTGGGCGGAATGCAGAGCGGAGGCCAGATGGCGGAGCGCGGGAGCGCGGGAGCGCTGGAGCGGAGCGCCGCCGCCCCGCCGACCCCCGGGGCTGCGCCGGATGCGCAGGCGCCGCCACGGCGCCCTCGGCGATGCCCGCGAGCGCCCGGGCGCCGCGCGAGCCGCGGCTGCTGCGGGCCCCGGGCTTGTTTTGGCCGGAGCTCGGCCTGCCGGCGGCGGCGTCGTCGGGCGGCGGCGGTGCCGCGTCGGCGGGTTCGAGGTCTGCGGACGTCTTCCTTGATCCCCAGGGGTTTTCCAGCCTCGGGGGGCCTCGGGGGGCCTTCCGTCGGCTGCGCTCCGCGTTTGCTTCGATGCGCCGCATGACATTTGAAATTCTGCTTCTGGAAGCCCAGTTATCGAGCACAGGGGGCAGAACGCGTAGACAAGACGCGCTCGTGCAGATTGAAGCTCCATCGCGCGCGCCTTCGCGCGCCTCGCGCCCTTGGCCGCTCTCTCTCTCTCTCTCTCGTCGGCCTGCTGGGACCTTCCGGAACGGCTGCGGGAGGCCCGAGTTGTGGCCCAGAAACCACTGGGACCTCCGTCGGCGGCGGCGGCGGCGGCCAGCTCGGCCTCCTCGTCCTCGTCCTCGTCCTCCTCCTCCTCCTTTTCCTCCTCCTCTTCCTCCTCCTCCTCCTCCTCCTCCTCTTCCTCCTCCTCCTCCTCTTCCTCCTCCTCCTCCTCCTCCTCCTCCTCCTCCTCCTCCTCCTCCGTCTTCCTCCTTCCCCTCCTCCTCCGTCGTCCTCCTCTTCCTCCTCCTCGTCCTCCTCCCTCCTCCTCCTTTTCCTTCCTCCTCCTCCTCCTCCCTCTACGCTGGGCTCCTCGAGAGCCACTGTGGCCCAGCTCGGCCTGCGGCCAGCTCGGCCGCGGCGGTGGCGCCGTCGGGCGGCGGCGGTGTCGGCGGCCTCTCTCGGTGGCCGGTCTTCGAGGTCGGTCTCCTCGGCCCTCGGGCAGCCCTGGATCCTGGACGTCCTGGGCGTCCTGGGCGTCCTGGGCGTCCTGGATCCTGGACGTCCTGGACGTCCTGGGCGTCCTGGACGTCCTGGGCATCCTGGACGTCCTGGCCGTCCTGGCCGTCCTGTGCGTCCTGGACGTCCTGGGTCCTCGATCGTCCCTGGATCCTGGGCGGCCTCGGCCCTCGGCCCAGCGGTCCTCGGCGAGCCCGCGGGCCCTGCGTCCCTGGATCCTCGAGCGATCCTCGGTCCTCGGGGGGGCCCTCGGCCCTCGGTCCCGAGCGGTCCTCGGCCCTCCGCACCTCGATCGAGCCCTCCAGCTTCGCGCGGCCCTCGAGCTTCGACTCGCGGAGCGCAGCAGATATTGGTCTGCTCGTTGACGCAGGGCGGCCATGGGCATCCTGGCATCCTCATCCAACGATGTCGCTCTTGCTTCTTTCGGGGTCCTCCCCAGAGAGCCTGCGAGGGCTCGCGATTGCTCGCTGGTGCGCGTCTGCACTCTGCATCCTCATCGATCGTCGGTGGTAATCATGTGGTGCCCTCGAAACTTTCCTCCGCCGACGACCAACAACTTCACTGGCGAGTAGTCGGATCGCTGGCCTCCGACTATTCATATCGACATATCCGTATTGTATGTTGTCCCTCGCTTTCGTCGTCGTTATCTCCCCCTTTTCATCTCCTCCTCACCCGTTTTCTGGTTTCGTATTGCACGTTGTGGTGCGAGGGATGATGGCCTCAAAGACGAGGGTCCCTGGTACTTCAACGTGTCGTGGGACGCCCAGCAATCCCGAGAAGGTGGTTCTGGCGTGGCGCGGATATTCTCCCGGGCCGCGGGGGTTCGCGCGCGGTCTCTGAAACAGAGAATCCCGCCTCCCGAGAAACTGAGCAGCTCTTCGGAGCTCGAGAGGACAGTCGTGCGAGCTGCTTGGTTGCGCTGGTGAGAAGCGAGCTTCTCAGCTGCTCAACACTCAGCCGCGCAGCCAGCGGACTCGTAAACCCCAACGCCGACGACGCCGCCGCCGACGACGACGACGCCGACGCCGACGCTGACGCCGGCGCCGACGCCGACGCCGACGCCGACGACGCCGCCGACGCCGACGCCGCCGACGACGCCGCCGACGATGCCGCCGCCGCCGACTCCGACGACGACGACGACAACGACGAAGACGACTACGACGTCGACGGCTACGACGTCGACGACCACGACGACGACAACGACGACGACGACGACGACGACGGCGACGACGACGACGAAGGCCAGAAGGCTTCTGAGAAGCCCCGCCGCCTTCTGATCGACTGGACGCAAGAGTGACCCTGAAGGCTTCTGAGAAGCCCCGCTGCCTTCTGATCGACTGGACGTAAGTGTGACCCTTCGCCGGAGTGACCTTTGATGCGGGCCCAATTTTGTGGTCCCCCGATCGCCGATCGCGATGCGATGGGAGCGTCTTGCGCGACTGGGGGCTTGGCCCCCCCGTGGCCCCCAAGAAGCCGCGCACCAAAGGCCACTCTGGTGACTGGTAAAGATCCTGTGGCGGCGGTGGTGATCACTGCCCAGCGCGTAGGCTGGGGGTTTGCAGATGCTGTGACGGCGGTTGACCATCGGGGGGCGGAACGGGACCTTCGATTTTTCTCGCCTGCGTGCATCGCGTCTCAGATCTCGTTCTCGGCGCGACGGGCCTCGGATATCAGGGCTCTGAGGCTGCGGGATGGCGCGTGGGCCGCGCATTTGTGTTGGAAGCCCCTCCTGGAACTGTTGTTTTCGGACTGGTCGGAGACCTGGGGCCGCCGCGGGCAGAGCGCGCTTCGGGGGCTGATTTCTGGGCCCCACTGGGCCCAAGGCAGGCTCCACGACCATGGGCCGACGCTCCCCGAGGTCTGCCAGTTACGCCGGGAAGAAAGGGGCACGATGTTTCACAGATGCTATGCACGCCCTGGCCATGGGCAGTTTCGGAGAGACTGCGCGCCAAGGGGGCTGTCTGGGTCTGTCGCCAGGACCAAGGATAGCCCTCTAGCTTGGAAGGAAAGGTTCGCGCGAGGTTTGTTTCCTGAGCCTGGCCAGTGTGTGTGTGTGTGTGTGTGTGTCTGTGTGTGTGTGTGTGTGTGTGTTCGACCACCTTTCGATCCGAGCTGGGGGCGCTGGGTCTCGGGGTCCCTCCAGCTGCCCTACCTCCTGGAAGGAGGGTTTGCTTTCGCGGATGGCTCGGGGCTGGATCAACATTGCCCGGCCTTGCGCGTAGCGGGTTGGAGTGTTATAGTCCACGATAGGGAGAGGCGCTATGTCGGCGCCATGTTCGGAGCTGTGCCACCTGAGTTTGGAATCGCGGGCGCGGCCCGAGATAGAGAAGACTTTGCAATGCTAATGTGTTCCCAGAGCCTTCTAGGTTTGTATTCTGTCAGGCGATCGTGAAGGTGCACTAGGCTGCTGTCGATCGCCCCAAATGTCCACGCCCCCATGCAACCCGCGAGCCCACCTGTGGAAGCAGGTGACTTTGCGAGAGGATGTTCGTGCTCGGTCTTTCGAGCGCGCCGAGGCCCGCGCGTCGGCCTCTGCTGTCGAGCGTGACCAGATCTCGGCGTTCGACCGAGACGGCAACAATGCTGCACATAGCTTCGCGAAAAAAAAGGAGCGGCCTTAGCGAGGGCCGCCGCGGCAGATGTTGAATTTGTCGAAGGGTGCCATTTTATTGCTCGGCTTGCGGCAAAGTTTTCGGCCCAGTTGTCGGCCTCGATGGCCGCGGCGGGCACCCGAGACAATGTGGGAGTCGATTGCCTCAAGAGAATCGATTTGGGGTTTGTTGAATCCCAAGTGTTTGCGGTTCCAGGTGTTCCTGAGGCGGAGTTCCACGATATGGTCCTCCCTCCTCTCGAGCTTCCTGCTGCTGCTCCTGCTGGGGGTCCTCCAGGGCCCGCCTCAGGAGGCCCCGAATGGCTTCGGGGCAAGGGTGTCCAGCCCTGGCGTGTGAACGGTCATTGTTTTGTTCAGAGCTCGGTGCCAGATGACGTTCCAACAATTGATTGCCCGCCCTGCTGGCAGTGTGCGACCACCCCCGTGCAGCGAGGTCCCACTGGGCCATGCAAGGGGGCCGAAGAAGATCTCGGGGGGGGGGGTCGGCGTACACCGTCAGGAAAAGGCTGCGTGCAGGTTTTCACCCTGTGGCCCACCCTCAGGTGGCGCCCGGGCATTCGCAGGCCCCGTCGGCGGAAACCAGGGGCCGTTTCTCCAGGCGCTTTTGGAGGCCCCCGTCGGGGCGGCTTCGGCTCCAAGAGCGCCGAGGGTAGTCCCGTCTTCGAAGCAAGCGGTGGCGCCTCGCCTCGGCATTGATTCCGTGCTGCTCGCTTTGTGCCTCAGCTCCCGAGAGGAGGCTGAGGTGCTTGGTCGACACGTGCTCCTTGATTTCTGCCTCGGTCAGGGCGGCGCGTGCCGCGGACCCAGAGGCCGAAGGGTCAGTTTCTGGGGCGTGGGGGGCCCTGTCGGCTGGGCCCGTCCGAGGTGGGTCACAGCCTCGGGCGGGAACAACAAGTTCTCGTCTGAAGGGCGCCCCCACCCCAATTTTCCTCTCTCTCTCTCCCCCTTTACTCTCCCTCTGTGGGCGGTGAACCTCCTCCCCCTCCTCCTCTTCCTCCTCCTCCTCCTCCTCCTCCTCCTCCTTCTCCCCCTCCTCCCCCTCCTCCTCCTTCCTCCCCCCCCCTCCACTTCTGTCCATCCTTTCCTCCCCCGCCCTCCCGCTTCCTCTTCCATCGGAGGCATCTTCGAGGCCTCCTCTGGGACGACCTCCTCGCCAAAGGGCCCTGGCGCCGCTGCCGCCGCTCGGCGCCGCCCCCCCGCCGCCGCTCAGGTCGGCGGCCCCCCGCCGCCGCTCAGCGCTCGCGGCGGCCGCGGCGGCGGCCCCGCGGCCTGCGAGCTACCCGGCATCGCGCGGTGACAGCGCGCGGCTTGCGCGCGCCGCCAGGAGGTGGTTCCAGTGCAGTCACGCGGGGCTGCTTGGGGATCGTTCTTCCTCCCCTCTCCTCCTCCTGCCTCCTCCTCTTCCTCCTCCTCCTCCTCCTCCTCCTCCTTCTCCTCATCCTCCTCCTTCTCCTCCTCCACCCCCTCCTGCTCCAAATCCTCCTATTCCTTCGCCTCGTCCTCCTCCTCCTCCTCCTCCTTCCCCCTCCTGTCCTCCTCTTCCCTCCTCCTCCTCCTCCTCCTCCTCCTCCTCCTCCTCTTCCCTCCTCCCCCTCCTTCTCCTCCTCCTCCTCCTTGTTGTCGTCCTCCCCCTGGGGGTTTGGTGGTTGCCTGACTGCATTGGAGGTGGGCCGAGCCGCCAAGGCGGTGGCTCGGCCGTCGCTTGGCAGAGGGTCGGTCGTCGCCTGGCGGTGGCCCGGCCGTCGCCTGGCGGTGGCTCGGCTGTCGCCAGGTGGGCGACACCTACGGCGTACGCGCGAGGACTGAGGAGTCGTCCGAGGAGGGCGCAGGAGGTGGACAGGATCGATCCAGGCCGCGAGGTCCGAGCAGATGGGGTCGGAGGATCGTGCCGCATCGCCTAG